GGACAGCATGCCATCCATTGAGAGCGCATTGCACATGTGGCGGTGATGTCGTCGGCTGCTACACATGTAAATATCTCCTGTAGGTACCAAATAAAAAAGCAGACTTTACTACCACTTTAATACTCTTAAAAAATTGCTCCTGAAGAACTAGAATTGTCTATGAAACGTGTCAAGGGATCTCAAGTCTAATACATTTGATATAAATTTGTACCTGTGTGTTTGTTTCACAAACATAACAATGTTCATTTTACTATAGATGTTCTTACGAACCCTACCTTTGGTTCTTGAAGTACATTTTATAAATACCACTTTTTTAGGTGTTTGTTACTTTTTTTTAAACAAACTATTTTGTACTGAATATATATATATTTTTTTTTTACATTTTTCCATTGATGTAAACTTCTCTACTTAAAAAAAATCAAATTTATTCTCAATAGTTACTGGTTTTATGCTTTCAGTTGTTACAGATAACAGCCATTCCAGTAGGAGACACAATATACAGAACACTTCCTTTGGATTGGAACAATTGCATTGTATAATGTTTGTCATTCAGTAGTAACTCCTTCTTCATTAAGTGCTGGGTTGTCCTGCAATGTGTGACACTGTGCTAGGCTGCAGGAGCCCCAGGCACTTGAAACAACTGTAGAACATGGCACAGGTTGTATATATGGTGGGTAGCCCCAGGCTGATTTCTACATATATGTACAAGTTTAGTTGTCCTTTACATTGTACTATAGCTAGATATATATTGATATATAAAAATACAGCTGCAATAATATAATGAATGATATTTCTAGTTACTTCTCTAAACTACTTAGCATTTTACACTATACTAGGTAGCTTTTAGTGCTATGCTTTTCAGATATGATATAATTAAAAATAATTCCATTAAAATTAAATCATAACCAGTGCCGATAAAGAATTTAATTCAATATGTTCTGTATAAAAAGGAATAACTTTCTTATATAGATTTTACAAAGGTATGTTTTAAAAATGTATGTCTAGTGATGCAAAGTTTGTTTTTACAAGGTGCTGCTAAAATCACTGGGTTATTATTAAATATTAAGGGGAACATACAAGCCCATTCTCTGCTGTGAATACCGGCTGGCTTATTCATTATGGTGAAAATCAGTAATTCACAGCAACCTATTAACTATCAGTATGCAAAGTGCAATACCTCACAGCAACCAATCAGAAATAATTTGCAGTAGACCTCAGTTCAGTTAGGCTGGCTTCTCACTTGAGCGATTTGTAGTTCAAAGCTTGAAGCTCCAAAAAAAAGCTCAAATTTAAAAAATCAATTGTTCTCTATGGTGCCTGTTCACAGCTGATTTACACCTGATTGCAGGAACAGACACCATAGAGAACAATTGATTTTTAAAAGTTTTTGCAGTTTTGGAGCTTGGAGCTAGAAATTGCTCAAGTGTGAATCCAGCCTAAATTTGCATCTGATTGGTTGCAGTTTGCACACTTCTCCTTGCAGTGATTTAGTGAATAAGTTTGTTTCATAGTGATGTTTTTTTCTCATTAGAGTTTTGCTGGGCACAGACTATAGGATGCTGTCAGCAAGTACAATAAACATGTTAGTGTCCTTTTTAACAATCCTAGCATGTAAAAGTACTAAATTATTGCATACACACAATTTAATACCAAAAGATCTTTTGGAAAACCTAAATAAAAAGCATTTCAACTGTTAAAACTGCTGAAAAAGATAATTCTGTGCTGTGAAAACACTGCACAATAAAAATATATATGTTTGCCTACAATCGTCTATACATCATCATCTGAATTCTTAAAATTCAGCTAATGCACTATTCCTGTCCCTAGGGTTCAATGAAGAATAGTAAAGGGTTATTATGACCTTAAGAGGCCACTAACCCTTTGAAATACTAGTACCTCAATAAGAATATGATGTGATTTAGTGAATACGTTTGTTTCATAGTGATGTTTTTTTTCTCATTAGGCTTTTGCTGAGCACAGACTACACGATGCTTTAAGCATGTACAATACACATGTTAGTGTCCTTTTTGACAATCTGGCATGTAAAAGTACTAAATTATTGCATACACACAATTTAATACCAAAAAATCTTTTGGAAAACCTACATAAAAAGCATTTCAACTTTTAAAACTTAAAAAGATAATTCTGTGCTGTGAAAACACTGGACAATAAAAATATAGATGTTTGCCTACAATCAACATATCCATCATGTGAATTCTTAAAATTCAGCTAATGCACTATTCCTGTCTCTAGGGTTCAATGAAGAATAGTAAAGGGTTATTATGACCTCTTGAGGGCCAATAACCCTTTGAAATACCAGTACCTCAATAAGAATGGCGTGTCTTTATTGCAAACACTGGCAAATTATTTTCTAGACTGTCTGCATCTAGTGGATAAGCCAGTTCATACTTTGTTCTCACAGCAGATATTCCTGAATAACCATGCTATCTCTTCCTGTTAGTTACCTGGGCTTTAAGTTGTCATCACAATATTTAGGCCAGGGGTAAACATCACATTGTATACCCTGAGCCTCCTCTGTAACATGAATAGTATTCCTAGATTGTAAGCTCCAAGGAGCAGTGCCCTCCTATCCCTCTTGTATTGAACTGTATTGTTGCTGTATTATCTCCTGTTATATTGTAAGCACTGAGCAAACTGTTGGCACTATATAAATCCTGTATAATAATAATAATATATAGTCTACATACCTGCTTGATCTAACATTTTCACTGCCAGGAGCAATCAATTACAATTTATAGGCTGCAGTGCACCCAATCAGTCACTGGAGAACACAGATTGCTGGAACTAGTCAGCCCTTGCAGAAGATTAGTTACATTGTAGAGAGCATATATCTGCAGACCTGGACAGACAACAAGTAACTTTATCAGGGAATTCTACATTTCCACAGTTGACTGTCTAGAATCACATTAATATGGGGATGGGAAAGTGTTTAGATTAACTTATGCACAAGCAGTTTGTGTCCACCACTGATTAGATAAGTGATTTCCAGCACACAAGTCTCAATGTATAACTGTATATGTCTCCTGGCAATGATGACATTGGGATTGATTTACTAAAACTGGACATTGCAAAATCTGGTGCAGCTCTGCATAGAAACCAATAAGCTTTCAGTTTTTTTTTTGTCAAAGCTCAATTGAACAAGCTGAAGTTAGAAGCTGATTTGCTACCATGCAGAGCTGCACCAAATTTCTCACTCTCCAGTTTTAGTAAATCAACCCCATTGCACTGTATATACACACTCAAAGTAACCAGTACTGTGTTTATATTGACATGGGCCTGTTATGGGAGCAATAAAAGTCAAAGAAGAGACAGATAAGAGGTTATATTTGCAATGGTGTGGTTACAGGTGCCTCCTAAATAATACCATGCCATCAGTACTAGCAGTGCCATTTTTAAGACAGTAACAACATTTATGTCCAGCATCAATCTTCAGGCTTCATTCTACTTTCCAACCTCATGAAAAATGAGGAACAGACAAAAGACAAAATAAAATTCCTTATAGGGAATAGATGTTTTTGGAGGGGATTCCACGTTGCTTAGAGTAGGCTGTGGTCGAGCACAGCACTGAGTATTTACTGTACCATAGGACACATTCTCTCCCTTTTCCCAGTCACTGTGTGTTTCTCATCCTAGGCTTGCCAGCAGCAAGCTCCTCTTTTCCTGGATGAAAAGCATTGCTGAGATTGGAAGTTGCTACCGAAATCTCTGTATACAGTTTAAAGTAGCTTTCTTCCGATATCTACAGTGCCTTCTCTAAAGCTTCATACTGTATTAGACAGTCAAATTGGCTGGTTCACACTTATTCTGGGGTTTTCTTGGTAAATGATGTAGGATAAATGTGACTGAGAGAAAGATATAGAACCACAGCTGGACCTTGTAAACAATATTATTTCCACATCTTAAGTGAGCAAACAAAATTCACTATTATTTGCAATAATTCCTAACACAAACAATGCAGTTTAAAGAATTGGTTTTACAAAAAGGAAAACTCAGGATGGCTAATACCCACCACCAATGCAGACTAATGGAAGTACTCCTAGTTACTGGGCATTGCTGGCACTTTGTGTGATGCTGAACAGTAAAATTGCTTTTATTGGTTGGCAACAGCAGCATCCAGTGCAGAATGGGAGCCTTGGCTGTGCCAGCAAACGTCCTGTCCTGACATAACCCCTTCAACAACAACATAATAATGGCCCAGGTATCGGCTGTCCCATGATATGGCCACCTACTGTGCTACATACAGCTTCACAGAGAGGACTGGCTAATAGAAATGGACACAAATCTTTGGAAATTAATCAATAAAAGTGCACTAGTCAATTAAAAAATAAAGTGATATTTTTACACAGTGATCTTTTTTTCCCATGTATTTCTGAATTCAGCAAGCCATTGTTTCTTGTTCAAAGAACTATACAAATGGCCACTCCTGTGAAAAGAATTTCTGATATTTGCTGCTGCCCATAAATAAAAGCACACTTCATTAATCATTAACAAGAATATACATATGAATATAATGTACATAAATAAAATTCCTAAAAGTACCTTCATTTCAAGTTCTTCTCGAAATCTAGGATTGTACTTGAAAGAACAACTTCAGGAAAACGCTACTGAAAAGCCCAGATCTATATATAGATATATACATTTATGTGTGTGTGTATAGCAAAACGTAAATTAAACGGCAATAAAATAAATAATCTCATCTCCCAACTATTATTATTTGCTACAAAAAGAAATTCTGATGTCGTAAAACAAAATTCTATATCTTTAGAAAATATGTCTCATATTCCGAAATACCCCACCACTATTTTATACCCTCCCACTCAAATGCTTCATGTTTTGGCATGTGTTTTGATTTTCACCTCAACTTTTCATGGAAGTTGGCCTTTGCCATCTGTTCCTGAGCGCTGCCATAGCCTGGTTTGCGAGGCACTCTGTGTGCCCAGCTTGAGGTGGTGAGATTTGTAGCTTTTTTTTGTCCTAAGTCAAAAAATATCAGGACAATTAGACCAGTCTTGTTTTTCTTTGCACTCCCAATATCCTCCTTTGTAAACACACATGAGCTCTCCAGTGAAAGAGTCGACTTTCCGTTCAAACCACAGTGGTTGATATCCTTCATAGTCATTACCTGTATTAAATAAAAATCAGTTAGTAAAAACTGTGACAATGCTGCATATAATCAATGAGATTCTTATGACAACCTATACAACATTCTATCCTAAAAAAAACTGGGCTTGGCAATACTCCAACAGCAGCTAAATTGAATGGCTAGATTGTAAATTCCTACAAAATTGCACATGATTTTTGGCAAAGAGCAAGGCCTTAGTTGAATTTATGCACAGGCAGTTTGTGATCCCCACTGATTTAACCGTTTCAATACCGTGCAATTTTACACCTTCCTGCCCAGGCCAGTTTTCAGGTTTCAGCGCTCTCACACTTTGAATGACAATTGCGCGGTCATACAACATTGTACCCAAACTAAAATTTGATCATTTTCTTCACACAACTAGAGCTTTCTTTTGGTGGTATTTAATCACCGCTGGGGTTTTTATTTTTTGCTAAATTAACAAAAAAAAGACCAAAAATTTTGAAAAAAACCCACATTTTTCTTTGTTTCTGTTATAAAAGTTTACAAATAAATAATTGTTCTTCATAAATTTAGGCCGAGATGTATTCTGCTACATGTCTTTGGTGAAAATAACCCAAATTAGGATGTATTTTTTAGTTTGTAGGAAAGTTATAGAGTTCGCAAACTATGGTATAGATCTGAATATTGATCAATCCTGAAGTACTGACAGCCAATCTAATTTCTTGAGGTCCAAGAATGTCAGAATAGTACAGATATCCCCCAAATGACCCCTTTTTGCAGAGTAGACAGTCCGACGTACTTCATAAGAGGCATGGCGAGTTTTTTGAAGTTGTATTTTTTTGTCATAATTTTTCGGAAAATGAAAAAATTAAAAAAATTATTTTCACTATTTTTTTTTTTACATACTGTCACCAGTGCAGTACAGCGTCATCATATAACTGGCATGGCGGTGAACAGCGACACTGACTGGTGACAGTATGAAAAAAAAAAATATATTTTTTTTTAATTTTTTTTTAATTTTTTTATTATATTTAATTTTTTATTACATTTTTTTTTATTTTTTTAAAGATTTTTTTTTTCATATTTTACTATGACCAAAATAGTACAATGTTACCATAGTAACACTGTACTACTTTGGGGAAGTGATCAGTATTTTTTTTTTTTTTACACAATTTGCTTATAGCAAAAAATTACTTTGCTATAAGCAAGCATTTACCTGAATGAAATCGATTCATTCAGCTTTTTTTTTTTTTTTTGTGCTTAGCTGTGATTTGGTCACAGCTAATCACATGACATGTGCATGTGATTAGCTGTGACCATTCACAGCTAGGCACTAGTATACAATGGATGGCATCATGAATGAAGCCATCCATTGTATACAACTGTCATGTGACCTGCTGTGATTGGTCACAGCAGGTCACATGGTACCGGCAACGGGAGCCGGTACTCGGATCTGTCATCGGCCGTGTCCGAGGTGCACGGGCGGTGACAGATCGCACTGCTGCGTCGCTCTGCAACCGCGCAAACTGCGCATGTGCGGGAGCACGCCAAATGGCGTGCACCCGGAAAGCTGCAGCGCTTTTCAAGCCGCCAAACGGCCATTGGCCGGGCGGCTAATGGTTAATGAGTGCTTTCCAGCACAGAAATAATAATATTCTGTATGTCTCCTGGCAGTGAAGTCATTGAACCAAACAGGTAAGTGCATTAGATGCCTTCCTTGTTTTATCGTCTTGTCTGCAGATACAAACTCAATATAAACAGTTCAATGTTTATACTAGCATGGGCCTGTGATGTGAGCAAGTCAAGACAAGCATTATGAAGTGTTTTTGGACAGGCCATGGCATGAGAACCCCTTTGGTGGAAAAACGTCTCCACTATCACAAAGGCCACCCAAAAGCAGAATGAGGTGCATATAGTCCATCTATTTGAGCCAGGAAAAATTGCAGCATGGAGGAGAATCCAAGATGGCATAGGCAGTCAAGTGTGCTCAGCATGACAGAATCCAGCAGGCATGAGACCAGAGCAACCTTGCCTTCAGAGCGCAGTGTGTCCTACTCCGCATCACCTCACTGCTCCCCATTAAGGTCTCCAAATTACTCCACTAGAGGTCCATAAATATTGGAACATCGCCACAATTCTAACATTTCTGGCTCTATACACCACCACAATGGATTTGAAATGAAACGAACAAGATGTGCTTTAACTGCAGACTGTCAGCTTTAATTTGAGGGTATTTACATCCAAATCAGGTGAATGGTGTAGGAATTACAACAGTTTGCATATGTGCCTCTCACTTGTTAAGGGACCAAAAGTAATGGGACAATTGGCTTCTCAGCTGTTCCATGGCCAGGTGTGTTATTCCCTCATTATCCCAATTACAATGAGCAGATAAAAGGTCCAGAGTTCATTTCAAGTGTGCTATTTGCATTTGGAATCTGTTGCTGTCAACTCTCAAGATGAGATCCAAAGAGCTGTCACACATCAGTGAAGCAAGCCATCATTAGGCTGGAAAAACAAAACAAACCCATCAGAGAGATAGCAAAAACATTAGGCGTGGCCAAAACAACTGTTTGGAACATTCTTAAAAAGAAGAAATGCATTGGTGAGCTCAGCAACACCAAAAGACCCGGAAGAACACGGAAAACAACTGTGGTGGATGACCAAAGAATTCTTTCCCTGGTGAAGAAAACACCCTTCACAACAGTTGGCCAGATCAAGAAACACTCTCCAGGAGGTAGGTGTATGTGTGTCAAAATCAACAATCAAGAGAAGACTTCACCAGAGTGAATACAGAGGGTTCACCACAAGATGTAAACCATTGGTGAGCCTCAAAAACAGGAAGGCCAGATTAGAGTTTGCCAAACGACATCTAAAAAATCCTTCACAGTTCTGGAACAACATCCTATGGACAGATGAGACCAAGATCAACTTGTACCAGAGTGATGGGAAGAGAAGACTATGGAGAAGGAAAGGAACTGCTCATTATCCTAAGCATAACACCGCCTTGGTGAAGCATAGTGGTGGTAGTGTCATGGCGTGGGGCATGTATGGCTGCCAGTGGAACTGGTTCTTTTGCATTTATTGATGATGTGACTGCTGACAAAAGCAGCAGGATGAATTCTGAAGTGTTTCGGGCAATATTATCTGCTCATATTCAGCCAAATGCTTCAGAACTCATTGGACGCCGCTTCACAGTGCAGATGGACAATGACCCAAAGCATACTGCAAAAGCAACGAGTTTTTTAAGGGAAAGAAGTGGAATGTTATGCAATCGCCAAGTCAATCACCTGACCTGAATCCGATTGAGCATGCATTTCACTTGCTGAAGACAAAACTGAAGGGAAAATGCCCCAAGAACAAGCAGGAACTGAAGACAGTTGCAGTAGAGGCCTGGCAGAGCATCACCAGGGATGAAACCCAGCGTCTGGTGATGTCTATGCGTTCCAGGCTGCAATTGACTGCAAAGGATTTGCAACCAAGTATTAAAAAGTGAAAGTTTTGATTCATGATTATTATTCTGTCCCATTACTTTTGGTCCCTTAACAAGTGGGAGGCACATATGCAAACTGTTGTAATTCCTACACCGTTCACCTGATTTGGATGTAAATACCCTCAAATTAAATCTGACAGTCTGCAGTTAAAGCACATCTTGTTCGTTTAATTTCAAATCCATTGTGGTGGTGTATAGAGCCAAAAATGTTAGAATTGTGCTGATGTCCCAATATGTATGTACCTGACTGTAGTTCTAAGAGATGGAGACTCTCTCATAGGGCTGTGCTGGGACACAAAGCAATTTCTAAAAGACCTAGCCACCAGGGAAAACTACTAAATTACTAACAAAATGTACCTAATATCGAAACTGAAACTAGGGAGACTAAATATGAAGACACTTTTCTCAAATTGCAAGCTTTAAAGGATAATACAATGAGACAGAATCACAAAATAAAAGAATAATTTTTGCAGCTTGATGCTTACAAAAATAGGAGTCACTGTTCCAACATCAGAATTAGAGGGCTGCCAGAAGCCACTAAAGCAAAAGGTCTACCTACAGCCAACCTTGATATCTTTAAACAAATCCTGGGCAATTCTACAGAGCACAACACTGAAATAGATAGAGCTGACAGGGTTCTGAAAAGGATGATATTTATAAACCCCGTGATGTTATCTGCAAACTACACAGGTACTCTAATAAATAGGCCACCATGTTGGCCAAAGAAAAGAAGTCCTGCATTGATTTTGATGGTGTACAGCTATATTTATTTGTCCGTGCTATCAAGAAAAATGTAAGACACAGAGTCATCAGACATTTATGAACAAAGCCATAAATCACACTGGTAATAGGATTTACATACCAGTCCTTATTATATATACAAACAGAGTTGGATCAGGCAAATTTAAAGCAAGAATGCAAGCGGTAAACTGTTTGCAAGAGCCCAGGAAAAGCAGGTAGATAAAATGTGCATTCATAAATTAGGGAACATAATCCAAATTCCCCATATAGTACAACAGTTTTGGTGCTATTACCAGGATCTTTATAACATTAGACAAGAAAAACATCTGCAGGCTTTTAAAAAAAGAGGAGACATAAAATCTAGGAATTCTTAGAGGAGGTGTCGTACCCTAGGTTACCAAAGCAAATCCCCCAAGCTCTTCAACAAGAAATCACAAAGGAATAGCTATAACTAAAAGCAATGGCCTCAAGGAAAAAAAAAAAAACGGCCCAGATGGCCTAACCAGACTTCAAATTCTCGTACTTACTATTAGACACCTTCTGTGCCCATATTAATTCTCACAAAAGCTGGGAAATTACCCTAGAGGCCTCATTTGATCATGTCACACCCATCTTAAACAAGGGCAAAGATCATGAAACAAATTCCAAAATATAGGCCCATTTCTTTTTTTAATTTGATATAAAAGTGTCAGCTACAATCCTCACAGACAGGATCAAACCCTACTTAAGATCTTATACAATTGGACAATGGGACCACATGAACTTTATATCTTATAGAAAAGCTACAGATAACTCTCAAAGAGCAATT